TAAATAAAATTTCTAACTTTAAAATATTTTTATTTTATTTTTTCTTATTTAAATAATTAAGCTATGAAAATTTAAGATTATATAGTCTATACTACTACTTGCTTTTTGGCTTTAAATAATTTAAACTTTTATCATTTTAAATTTAATATTGGAATTTAATTAATTTATTTATTATATTTATATTTCAATTTCATTTTTTATTTTTAAAAATTAATAAGTTGAAAAGGTTATGTAAATTATATAATTAACGTGGCCTAATTTAGTTTCATAGTTTATATAATTTTCATTATAGCATTATAAGTAAATTTAATGACTACGTTATTTTTATCTTTGTATAAATTTAGGTACTAAATTTTCTTCTAATTAAAGATATAAAAATATTTTAAATATAAAATCTTTTTTAAAACTAAATATATTTTTAAAGGAATCCTTAATGAATGAAAATATGTGGCACAAACTAATTAACTTTTTGTAGTTGTGATTTTGTAGTTTTTGTAGTTTGTAGAAAAGGAAAATATGATATAAACTAAACTAAATATTTTAAAGCTTTATTATATAAATTATAATGTATGTAATAAATTTTATTAATGTAAATTGCTGAAATTTTTTTATAATTCATTTATTAAATTAAGAATTTGAAAATATTATAATATAAAATTACATTGTAGACAATTTTATATTCTAAATAAGAAATAATATAATTTAAATTTTATTCCTGAAAATTAAGCAAAATGAAAATTACAATTTATATATTTTATTTTAAATCGATTAAAAAATTCATGGTCTAGCGAATAAACTTATAACTTATATTCTAAAATTAAAAGTTAAATATATATTAGTTTATAAAACTGTTAAATGTTATTAAATTTAATTGAATATTCTAAATATTTTAATATTATTTTATATAATTTATTGTTAATTAATCACAAAAATTTTTATTTAAAATCATTTTATATGGTTGCTTAGTTGCTAATTAAATATTAAAATATTTTATTTAGTATTTGTTAATAAAAATATTTATTAATATATTCAATATATTCTACACTAAAAACTATTTTTAAAATAGATTTAATTCTATCAAATGTATATAATTATGTATTTATAATTATGATTCTATTCTAATATTTCTGGGCAATTACTTACTAATTTTATATTATTATGTTTAAAAATTAAAATTAATTAATAATTTAAAAAGAATGATGATAATTTTATTTCAGGCCTATGAAAGAATATTCAATTATTTTAAATTTTATAAGTGGTATTAATTCCGTTTTAAAAAATTTTAAAACTGATGGTCATACTTTGAATTTTATATTATTAAAAGACAATATTTCTAAATATTAAGTTAAATTTAAAATTTTCTTATCAAATTTTTTATAAAAATGATTCTTAAATTAAGAAAATATTAATTATCTTGTATTTTTAAACTTGTTTTTAAAGTATTCTTATAAAATTAAGTAAACTTATAGTTTTAAAGCTATGTTGGTTATAATTAGGCTATTATTATTTTGTCATGCAATTACAGTAATCAGGACCATTTGTATTAATGAAAATGATATAAAAAAATCCTTATGAACACTTTTTTATTCAAAACATTATAAATTTTGAGCAAAAATGACAAATTTTGACAGATAAAATTATATTCCTAATATGCTATTTTTAATATCACAGGAACACGGGTATAGAAGGTGGCTCAAAAGTCAGTTAATCTTATTTTATGTGTTCCAGTTACAGTTCTAAATAGGAGAATGTTCTTTTACAGAATTTGGAGAAACGGTTTAAAATATGATAAAACGTTTTGCTATTTCAATAAGAACACAGTTTAGTCGTTACAACGGTTAACAGATTTCTATCATAAAGTATTTGAATAAGATAGGAATATAGTTAACTGATTTTTGGTTTACTCTGATTATTCTAGTAATTGTGTAGTTTTATTATATTAATATAAGTTACATCGAAATGCGACTAAATTGCAAAGTAATCAGTCTTCTACCATATTGGTGCTTCATATAGAAAACCGCTATTTTCTTAAATTGTTTTATAGTCTTCCTTCGTTGCTTTTTTCTTATAAATATCTCTATACAATTAATATTCTAATTTGTCTGTCGAAATTATATGAAAAATTTATTATCTAAAGACAATTCCGTCCAAAATAGTATTTGAAGTAGTCCTATTAAGTGTCAAGTAAGCCTAAATTAAGCGTAACAAAATCGCATAGTGCTCTAAATAAACATGAAATGGGAATGAATTTTTCAGCTTAATTTATTTTAAAATAAAATATGAGTCATTGTTGATAAAGTGCAATATTTGAAAAACGAATAATGATAGGTTCGATAATTAGAAATAAGACTTGCATTGTGATTGGTCGAATCGCTTTCCGACCATTCACGACTAACAATCACGCTTATCCTTATTTACCTTCGACCAATTAGCAAAAACGAATGTACTGTACGCTATGCTTAATAGTTTCTTCTTGTAGAATGTAGATATTAAAAACTTTCATTTGTAAAAGTTATTAAGTAATTCTAAGAATAGATTAATACATAAGCTAAACAAACTACGTTTAAAGCCTCAAGTTATGAGGCTTAATTTTGTCCTTAAAAAATTAATAGGCCTATATATATAGGCTATATATCTTATTATTGTTTGATGACGGGACGGAGGAAGGGCCTTTTATATATTATAGCTTAGAAACACGTATCTAAATCAGGCCTGATTATGGGCCTACATTCTTTAAAAGATACAAGATTCCTTAGCATATTTATACACTTCAAAAATAATTAAAATAAATTATTATTGATGTAATAACTTTTATATAGTACATTTTTAAATTTATATTTTCTAGACATATTTTAGTTAATGAATTTTATTAACTGACGCTATTAATTAAATATTTCTCAAAAAATTTAAGAATATATTCAGGCTTAGATATGTTTATTAAATACAGATTTTTAAAAGATTTTTTAGAAATTTTATCTTAAAAAAATTCAAAGCAATAGCATTTTCTAAAAATTATTATTTAGATTTATATTAAAATGTTATAATTTATTATAATAAAGAAATTTTAACTTTAACCAGTGAATTAACCTGTTCTGATTTAAATTCATTACTATTCTAATTAAAGAAAATTTATTTTAAAAAACCCCAAACTGGTATGTTTAAAACAGTAAACTTATTCTTTATTTGTAACGTTTGTAATCGTTTCAAATTGAAATTGGTCAAGTTGCAGCCATTCTCAGCTTGCAATGATTTAATACAAATTTAAAACCAATCCATTAAGTATAGAATATAATTATTATAGAACATAAATTAGAATAAAAAAATCAATTTAATTTTAATATTTAAGAATTTAATCGTTTATAATTGCTATAAGCTGAGGATAGCCATTATATGGCCGAAAACGTTATTAAATAAGGAGTCGTTTTGGCTTCTTAAACTTAGAAATTTGATTTTTATGTAAAGTAAGTTAAATTTTTAATTAACTGATTAAATTGTCTTAAGAAAATCTTTCTCTTATAATCTTAAACTTTTTAATGTAATAATTATAGCTCAGTATAATAAATTATTTTTAAATCATAATATTTCAATTTTAAGCTACATATAACGTTTTGTAAAAATTTTAACATCTTCAGATATTCTAATATATCGAAATTAAATATTTTTGAAGTTGTAAAACTTAGAAATAATATTTCTCTACTTAAACTTGAAGATCCATATGGTTGCTGAAAGCTAAAAAAGAATACATAATAAAAATATTTATATAATATTATCAATAACTTACTAAAGTTTATAATTTAAAAATTTATATCAATTTATGTATTTTTAAATAATTTAATTTAAAGAACATAATTTTCAATATTAAGTTTTATATATTTTAGATAAAGAAGATAGTCTACATTAATATACCTATATTCCATTTACAATATTCTACTTAGAGTTGGATTTAGAGTTAGACTTATTGTTGCCCTAAGCTGTAGCATATAAAGTTCTTTTCCCTCCAGCAAATGATAGGCCTATTTAAATTTAAAAGCGTAAGGCCCTAGTTTATAGCTTATTTAGCTACAGCTTAGGAGACCTCACACTTAA